AAATAAATAAATAAATAAATAAATGATATTAAAGTATGGTTTAAGAGCATCAAAATATTGTTTATCTTACCATGTCAAAGTTCTAGGTTTTAATATCTAGATCTAGTTCAAAAGAGATTTTATTTACCTGTTCTGTTCAGAAAAACAACAGCAAGAACAGGTTAACTAATTTCATTTACCGTTTTATCATTTTTCACAGTTAGACTACTGCCTCCTATAGCAAGCATCAGACCAAGCATCAGGTTCTTCTGCAGAACATGGGCAATACAATCCTGTGCATTTCTATACAGAAGCACCAATGTGTTTAACTGTCATTTTCCCCAGTTACATGCATATGCGGCAGCCGCTTTTATTAATAAGCTCACCACATCTATTCACAGAAAAACACAGAACCACGTGGCGAAGAAACTCGTGCACCTGCAACAAGCAGGCAGGTGCATTTTGGAGAGGTCTAAGGAGACCCATTTCCAAGTGCGAACAATGAATCTGCAGTAACCATCGCGTGTGTGTTTGCTTAATTTTGAAACGTCATTACAGACTCCACTTTTCTTCTTTTTTTGAAAGAGTATAAAAGTGTAGGAGCAGAGCCGTCGGGAACGTGAGCGAGCTCTGGCCCTTTAAAATCAGCTTCCCGTCCAAAGCCAGTAGAGGGAGATGAGGCTGTCTCGCCAGCTTCATCGTGACTGTTTTTTTTTGTTCCATGGGGGGGGCATTTAAATGTCCTGTCCTCAATCAAAGCGCACTTCCCTATCCAGCCGCCGTAGCAGCCCGTGTTCCTCAGCTATTCTCCGGCTGATGTCTCCTTCTCCCAACTTCAAAAACACCCTCCAACCCAAGCCTTCTGGCTCCAGTCAGGTAGCACGGAGATCAAAGCCCAGACGAGGGACGAGAGAGCGCCACTTGCGCCACCGCCAAGGCAGCCCTGAAACTTGCTCCTTTGTTTAAATGCCCATGGATCCCCACCAACACACACACACACCAGTGCCTGATGCGCTGTATCGGCCTTTCTATTGGCCTCAAAGCTCCTTTCCGGCGATCAAAAAAGATTCTCATCCCGGGGGGAAAAATAAAACCATAATAGAGAAAGAGAATGCATGTGGGCGACAAGCACAACCTCAGAAAGAGTCCGAAGCACAAAATAAATAAATAAAAAACTCGAGCACGAAGAGCCCGGCCAGACCAGCAGGGCGAGACGGGGACGGGGCAACCAGGCGGAGAGGGGGCACGCCGGTTCCCCTTCCCACAAACATGGGGACACAATTGTTCCTCTGGTGGGTGTTTTGTTTTCTTCAAAGGAAGGCACAGAAGAAAAACACGCTCAACTTTTTCGGCCACCTCAAGAAACCCCGAAAGCTCCCCCGTCCAACGTCGAGTCCTTATATAACTCTATACAGCCGCGGGGGGGGGGAGGAAAGGAGGAACTAAGAGGAGCGGCGGCTCCCTCAACGCCGCTTCCTGCTTCACCGAAAACCCACAAATAAAAAGCCGTCCAGATAGCACCTCCGCCGCTTCTCCCTCATTGTCCTCGTCCGCCCCTTGTTTCTCTCCCTCAGCCCCCGTCGGGCCAGGGCCTCCCCCCTCCCCGCCTCGGAAAGCCGGGCAAGGAGAAGCGGGAGCCCGGGGGAGGGGGGAGTCAGGCAGACACTGTTTTTGTTGTTTTTTTCCTCAGGAGGAGAGGCAGAAGGGGCTGTGTCGCCCCCGGCCGGCCCTCTCTCTTTACCTGCCGTGGAACCAGTCCTTGCAGATGTCGCACTCGATCATGAAGCGGCTCACATCGTAAGGCTCCCGGCACACGCAATACACGGGGGTCGCGGCACTGTTGTTGTTGTTGTTGTTGGTCGTCGTCGTGGCGGTGGTGGCCGCGGCCGTCGTTGCCGTAGCCGCCGCCGCCGCCGCTCCGGCCATCTTTAAGGAACTCGCTCGCTTCCTCGCTCACTCTCTTGACTGACTGACTTGACTGACTGACGGAGGCAACCCTGCTCTCTCTCTCTTGCTCGCTCTCCTCTCGCGTCTGCCCTCCCCCTCGGAGCCCCAACCCACAGCCGCCGCCGCCAGCCAGCCAGCCCGCCCAGCCAGCCAGTCGGCAGCACCGCCACCAATAACAACAGCGCGCGTGCGAGGCTCCCACATTAGGCGCGCGGCCGCCGCCGCCGCCGCCACTGCTCGCTCCTTCCCTCCTCCCTCCCTGTTCCTTTCCTTCCCGGAGAGCGGACAAGCGACAAGGGCGCACGGCGAAAAGGGACAAGTCACGTAAGGTACATTTTGGAGCATGCGCCATGAAGAAGGCAAGGTTGGCGGCGTGTTTAGGAGAGAGGAGGGGGGCGGAGAGAGAGAGAGAGAGAAAAAAAACCCGTCCTCCTCGTCTACGTCATAGCGGGCGCGCTCATACATACACACAAAGGGAGGGGGGAGTTGTGTGAAGTTCCATGAAAGGAGCCGGGGGCGAAGCGCGCGCGCGCGCACACACACCCTTGCCGGAAATCCCCCCTCCCCGCTCCCTCATTCGGAATTGAACAGCCTCGCACAGAGAGGAGAGCACGTGCCGCCACCACAGAAGCGTCTCTTTCCTCCCACTCCTTTCTTTTCCCATCCCTCCTCCCCCCTCCCCTTGTCGTAGGCGGGGCTCGAGGCAACAAATGGATAAAGTCACAGGCACACGTTGGCTCCGCCCCAAATTCACTCCTCTTGCTCGTTCTCGCTTCTCCCCCCCTCCTCTGCGAATCGTCACGTGGGTCGAGGAGGAAGGTGCCGCGAGGACATTGACTGTTTAGAAAACGGAAAGAAAAGCCCACTCTCGAGCCCGCCCGCCCTCTTATGCAAGTGAATGAGGCAGGCCGACGAGCCGAGCGCGTGACGGAAACTGCCGAAGTAGCCCGAAGGACTTGACTTTTGTTTCTTCACGGCAGAAGGAGCCGGTGCCAGGGAAGGAAAATTGCCGTCGCGTCTGAAAACACCCACACCTGGGTTTTCAGCGAAAATAAGTAACTGTGACATGCTGCTGCATATACATTTTTTTTTGGTTAGGTGACAAACTGCATGCTTGCAGCCAGTTCTGCTAAAACAGTATTGCACAACACATTGAACTTAATTGTTATTAATTTTTACAAAAGTCCCTCCACTATACTGTAATTGTTATGTTCTGTTCTGCACCAATTACAGTACTCCGCTTTATTTTCTTCTTTTTGCAAATTTTTGAAGATGGTCGAAGCTTCCAGTATTATCGCAGAGCCTCATATGATCAAATACCTTGTTGTGAGGGTTCAGTGGTCACCTCAGGCTTACCAGACACAAACACTGGAAGCACGTGATCTTGAAAAACAGAACTGGGGTTTATTGGAACATCAAATAAAGAAGTATCAACGTTAAACTTGTCAGTATTCTTTTCTCTCGCCGCCAACGGGTCAGACGAGGGTGTCCATGCTTCTTATTTGTTTGTTTGTTTATTTATTTATTATTGACAGTTGGCATTTTTTCCCTTTCTTTTCTTCTTTAGATATAGGAATGAATGTGAGTATCAGCAGATGCTGAAAACAACCCTTGAGCAACTTAATAAGGTGAGTTTATCACATCTCATTCAAATCTTATTTCTCCCCAGCCCTTTGCTTCCCACCCCCCTTAGTGTTATTTGTTAATGTGACATCAGAGCTCCTGTGCAATACATGCTACTATTTTTTCCCTCCCAACTGCTCTTGCAATGGAAATGGACATGGGTGTGTGGGGTGTCTACATTTTTCCAGCTCAAGAACAATGCAAATTGAAAATCATGAAGAAAGATTTCTGGAACAAGTAGTCAAGTGTTATGAATTCATATGAATGCACAGTGGAAAGTAAGGTCTCCTCATCTCCCCTCTCCGGGTCGAAGGGGTCAACTCCCTCTGAATAGGGGTCCCAGGGTCCAGTGAATACCTCCTCCAGTGAGCCTCCTCCAGACGCCATGCTCTCCTTTCCCTCTCTTCTTTCTCTACTTTCTCCTTTTCCTCCGTCAAACGCCTCCTCCACTCTCTAGCTGTTTCTCCCCAATAAGATGGTCTGGGGGGCAAACCTCTTCTTCTTTGGTAATCTGCCTCTTCCCCAGGCACCCTGACCTTTTCACATCTCCCTGTCCAGGAATCCTCTATCCAGATTAATTCCCAGCCCCCGGGTTTCTTGTCTTTTCCTTCCCTCAACTCTCCAAGCCCTGCCTCTACTAACGGTCGCTCCTCCACCCGGGTTCCCGCCTTTTCTATCCTGGTCTGGGTAGCTACCGACATCTTTACCTCCTGTTCCAAATCCCCAGTGTCTACACCCTGATGTTTGAACACGATGCGAGTAGTCGTGGACGCTGTCTGAGTCTCCTTCTCTCTTTTAACTGAGGACAACACTCCGGTGAGGACTTCTATAGCCTTGCCTCGGGTCTCACACTTGTGCAGACAGATGCAGGGGGTCAGGGTCTCGGTGGGAATATATGTGCCTAAAATGTGGAGCCACAAGACAAGTTAGCTGAAAGTGTGGCCCTGGTGCCCAACCTTGCTTTCTGCAGTGTTGGGACCCTGTCCTCATTTTAGAAAAGTAAGTGGTCTCCTATGCGTGTGGGACAACACTGTCCCAGTGTTAGTGCCAACACTTCACAATAAGAGGCAGCTGTAAGGTAGAGGAGTTGACGTCAGAACTGGGAAATCCAGGTTCACGACCTGGAAAAACCTGTTCAGTCTTGCGTGAGACACACTTTTTGAAGCTGAGCTATCCCTCAGGGTTGTTGTAAGGATATTATAGGGTGAAGGTGGAGCCATGTAGTACTATAACTTCATTGAAGACAAGGTGGCGTAGAAATGTAAGAAATTACCTAGTAATCTTTTGGGTAGCAAAGACCCATAAACAGTGGAGGGACAAAATGGGTGACCCTCTATATATGTTCTTGGAGTCTCTGGTGGTCCTTACTAAGGAATGAGAGAACCTGTGCATTAGGTGTTGAATTAGGACTGAAGACACCTGAGTTCAAATCCTCACTTGGCTATGAAACCCCTTCGGTGATTTTGGGACAGTCATCTCACTGTAACCTCTTTCACCACACTCCTGAGGGGGAAAAAAACAGTAAGAAGCACAGTATGCCAGCATGAGTTCCTTAGATGAAAAGCAGAATATAACTGGAACATAAAATATTAGGACCAATACTTCAACAGCATTTGAAGGGGCACTACATTTCAACCGCTCCCTTTTCTACGCCCTAACTTCCTGAGCCCAGTCATTCTCAGATATCCAGGGAGACCTGATGAATTTTACATCAAGCTTCTTCTTGCTGATCCAGACTCCCTTATTACATGTTCTGCAGCAAAATTTTGTGCAGCAGCAATGGGACAGTGCTCCCTTATAGTCTCCTGAGTTCACAGGTTGACTGGTTTTAGCATGAGGATAGTTTATTGTCTAGCGTAGATAAGTGTTGTCCCAACCAAAGGGACAATGGCTCAAAGGATAGCTATAAAAATGCTGTATTTCATTCTCCCCATATTTTGCAACCAGTACACAATTAATTATTTGTTGTATACTTTTTAAATTTCATTTTATATATTTTAAGCATATAATATGTTTTACGAATTGGCTGTACACTTTTTAAATTGCATTTTGTATATTTTAACCATATAATATGTTTTATGAATTGTTCGTATATTTTTAAACTGCATTTTGTATATTTTAGCCATAAATATATTTTATTAGCTGGTCACCTGACCGTAATAAATAAATTCATGCAACCTCTCCCTTTGTAAACAAGCTTAGGATCAAGATGAATCACATGTGACTTAATAAATACCTATTGATGGGAATTATCTTTTTGCTCCCAGTAAATTATACTTGGTGGAAAGCAGGAGTTTCATCATCACCATTTTAGAACCGTAGAGCTGGAAGGGACCCTATGGATCATTAAGACCAGCCCCTCTCAAGTAGGCACAGTGGGAAAATGAACTCCCAACCTCTTGGCTCTGGAGGCAGCAACATAAACCACCAACCTATTCTGGAAACAACACCAGTATCAGCAGTGGAATCTTTTAGACTAGGGTGGGCAACTTGTGTCTCTCCAGACATTGTACACTTACAGCTCCTACTATTCCTCAATGTTACCTATGCTGATCATCCTCTTGTAGAGATTTCAGGATGCTGAAGTTGAAGAGTTAGACTGAACAAAGAGATGGCATTTCCTGGACAAAGAGATCTTGCTTGAGGACATACACAATTTAAGGTCTTTGAATGTTGGTCTTCCTCCAGCCCCAGTCCAGTGGGTCACAATGCTGTCCTGAATGCTAGCTTCCAGGTTGTTGTCTTTAACAAGCAAATCTTCCTGTACTTTTCAGGGTGCTGGCAGAGAGACTGAAATCAACAGACGGAGCATCTTCTGTAGCATTTGAGGTCTGATAAAGCTGCTAGCTGGAGACAGTGCTGAATTTTACTGGTAAAGAAAGACTTCACTGGAATATGAATTTCAAGTGAATGGGGAGCTTGAAAGAAGACTACGAGGCCTTACTTCCTCAGCTGATTGATGAGGAAGGGACTGAGAGATCTGGTTGAGTGAGGGAAAGAAGGCTGCCACAAAGCCAAAGCTTTGTAGATTGATTTTTGGAGAGTCCCATGTTATCATGTGTAGAATGATAATCTATTTGCTCTCGTCTCTTTTATATCTTTGTCTCTGTATTAAGCTTTGTTCTGTCTCTGATTTAGTTTAAGTTATTGGATTAGGTCAGTCTATTTATAAGTTACTCAGTATTGACCAAAATCCAGTAGTACATTGCAACTGGAGTAGATCCATTCAGTCAAATGGACTTTAAAAAGAGTTGACTGATCAGATCCACACTGTTACAATGGGCCTACTCCTGACTTTCATCTATTGTATCATGTCCTATTTTATTATGTGTTTGTTTGTTTTGGGCTGTCAACTCAGAACCAATTTATCACAACCCTAATAGGGCTTTCAAGGTAAGTGAGAGACAGTATTTAAGGATTGCTTTTACCAGTTCCACACGCCCAGTGAATTTCCATGGCTGAGTGGGGA